AAAAAAAAAAAAAAAAAAACGGTGATAGGCAATGCCTGTGGGAGAAAGGATGACTGGTGATTTTTTTTCTTGTTTCTTTATTTTTTCACTGCTCTCCAAAATTTGTAAAACAAGCACAATTTACCGTTCTTTGGTGATCATAAAGTAAAACCCTACCGTGATGATCTCCTTCCCTGCTCCCCCTCTGTCTCTCTCCCTCACACATACACCATGGAAACACAAGGCAAAGAGGGTTTCTCAGGGGAAGGGAGGCCATGGCCCAAAGGCAGGACTCTTTCCAGGCTGGTCCCTCTGCCTGGGGTGCCTATCCCCTCCTCCTCAGGAGGGCATCCCCACACCTCACTGTCCTTGGGAAGCTGTGCTCACCAGTGCTACCAGGCCATGGCTATGTGACTGTGATGCCCAAGAGCAGGGGCTCCTTGGGGGTCAGGAGCCCGATCTTATTTACCTCTTGACCCTGGAGAGCAGGCCAATGTCTGGAACCTACTGTTTAATGAACCAAACGGAGGGGGAAAAGTTGATAAAAGACTGGGAAATGGGGCTTCTAAGAAGGCAGAGAAAAGAAGAGGAAGCTTGAAATAGGATCCCCGAAGTATGTAGATCCCACATTTCTCCTTCAGAGGAGTCCCCACCGCTCACCCTCCTGGCCAGCTCCTTCCCCCACCCCTTCCCGCCACACTTTCCAGAAGAGCCCTCGGAGGCTCTCTTTCTTCACCTTCCACCTGTCCGTCACAGGTGGCTTGAGGATGCAGCACACCCCAAAAGGTCCTGAAGGTCGTCCATGTCCCCAAATCCAACAGGTACGTGTCATCCACCTCTTAACAGACTTGCCCTGGCGGTCCCCGCCATCTCCCTGGGGAAACCCTCTCGCCCTGGGTCTCAGGGCGCAGACAGCCAGCCCTGTCTCAGCTTCCTTCTTTCCACCAGGCAGCTCCTTCTGTCTCCCTTGCAAGTCCCATCCTTCCTCCCTACTCACTCTACCACCCTCTTCTCATGTCCGTCTCTCCCACTTGGGTGCACTGCCCAGCCCTCCACAGGTACCATATAAACACAGATGACACCTGCACTTCCACCTGCAGCTCAGATCGCTGCCCAGAGCTCCAGTCCATGGACTCAAGTGACACCTCCACTTGGAGATTCCAGGTACCCCCAACTCAGCAGGCCCACAACCATAGCCAGGAGCAGCCCATCTCGGTGGCAGGCCTCTCCCGCAGCCTGTAACCCACAAGCTGGCCTCATGACCCCCCACTCCTCACTCCAGCCCACCACCAACCCCACGGCTCTCTCCTCCCCAAGTCTCCCAAGTCGGCCCCCTCTCTGTCTGCACCACCCCTGGCCCAGGACGCTCCGTCTCCCCTGGATGTTGTCCCCACCTTCATTTTCAAATACCACCCACCTCTGTAATGCTCTGTCCACAGCGCAGCTGCAGAGCTTTCAAAATGCAAATCTGCTCACCTTACACCACGGCCCGGCCCCTCTGGCTATAAATGCTCCAGTGCTTTCCATTGCTTCTATGGTAACAAGTACAACCCTGTGCAAGCGACTAGGGTATGCGCACCCTGTTCTCTGCACCCAGCACCCCACCCCTCCGTGCTGCACCCCGGGGCCTGCCCTGCACCTGCAGCTCCTTCTGCAGCGTGCTTTCCCTGCCCCACACCATCAACCCTCCCTTCTGAGCCCCTGCCAAGGCCAAACCTCCCCCGGCCTCTCCAACCAGCTCAAAGCACATCAGGTCCCGCTTTCAGAGCCCATGTCACGGGTCACAGTTATCCTTTCATCTGTACGATCTCTTGACCCATGTCAGCACCCCACCAGCATGGCACCAGATGGGCACAGGGTCTGGCGTTAGCAAGGACCTTGAGGCCTGCTGACTGGATGTGAGGGCTAGCACAGTACCATGAGTATGGATGCTGCTTAACACGACCCTGGCGGAAAGGCAGGCAATCTGGACAAAGCAGACAGGCAGCCAGGTGAGGCTGGCTGAAGGTGGGACAGGAGCCAAATCACACAAACCAGGGCCCAGTAGGGCCAGTGTGGGGCTTTACTTGGGTCCCCATCTGATAGGGACTCCAGGCTCTGGTACCAAGGTGGCGTGGGGGCCAGATGCAGGTGTGAGCCAGAAGATGTGAGGGCAGCTGAGGTGGGGGAGTTTGGGGGCTCACAAATGCCCATCCTGACCTCTGTCCTCTTCTGCCCCATAAGTACCCCCAAGCCTGACAGGTACAGCCCAGGACGTGTGCTCTGCAACATGATGGCCCCATGCAGAGCCAGGCATAACTCAGGCTCCCCGCAGGCACTTACTCAAGTCTCACTGCCATCTTCTTACCTTGCACGTTGTGCCCACCAGGGCTCCATCCCGGCTCCAGGCAGCGCCCTGCACCAGGTCCCCATGGGCCACCAGCTCTGCAGAGAAGCAGCCAAAGTCAGGAAGGGGTCCAGGGTCCCCCACCCCATCCCAGGTTATGAGGGCACCAGGGAAGCACGTGCTGATGGGCCTGGCTTGGGGTAACTCCCCAGGGCAGAAGCAGCAGCTGCAAGGGTCCCTTTCAGGAGGGAGAAGTAAGGGCAACAGCTCCTTCTAGACATGCTTCACTGCACCTGGGAGCGTCTTCCTTCAGCCCTGCCCTCGTCAGGCCACGCTTCCACTCAAAAACCTTCTGAGGCTCCCTGCTCCTCGGCCTGGCTCTCACTTTCCACCCATGCTCACTTCCAGACACTCACCAACACCCCCCAACCGGATTATGCCAGTCTACAGATGTGTCACACACACTCCGGCCCCGGGTCTCTGCTCAGGCCATCCCCACTCCTCTTTCAGTGTGATGGTTTTAAAATGTGTCCAAAATTCTTTGACACTCCTCCTGTTATAGGCTGAATCGTGTCCCCTCCAAAAGATGCTGAAGTCCCTCAGCACCTGTGAATGTGACCTTATTTGGAAACAGAGTCTTTGTAGATGATCAGGTTAAGCTGATGTGATTAGAGTGGGTCCTAACCCAACATGACTGGTGTTCTTTTGAAAAGAGAAACTGGACACAGAGATAGACATGCACTGAAGGAAGATGATGTGAAGACACAGGGAGAAGACGGCTGTCTATAAGCCAAGGAATGCCTGAGGCTACAGAAGCTGGGAGAGAGGAATAGAACAGATTCTCCCTCACAGCCTCAGAAGGCACCAACCCTGCCAACACTTTGATTTCAGAATTCTGGTCTCCAGAATTGTGAGATGATAAATTTCTGTTATTTTAAGCCACTCAGTTTGTGGTACTTCATTAGAGCAGCCCTAGGAAACTAACATACCTTCCCTTCAAAACATGGAGCCCAATTCCCCTCCTCTTGAGCGTGAGCAAGACTCTGACTCGCTTCTAACAAAGAGAATTTGGTGAAAGCAATGGTATGTGACTTCCAAAGCTAGGTCATAAAAGGTGCTGGGGCCTCCTCCTTGCTCTCTCTCTTGGATTGTTCACCAGGGGAAGCTGGCCGCCATGTTGGGACGGCACTCAAGTGGCGGCCCATGGAGAGGCCCACATTGCAGGGAACTGAGGCCTCCTGCCCTCGGCCAACACCGTGTGAGTGAACCATGTTGGAAGGACATCCTTCCGCCCCAGTCAAGCCTTCAGATGAGGGCACCCCAGCCAATGTCTCGACTGCAACCTCACAAGAAACTCTGAGCCAGAACCACCCAGCTAAACCACTCTCAAATTCCTGACCCTCAGGAACTGCGAGATAATAAATGTTTACAGTTGTCTTAAGCCTCTACACTTTAGGGTAATTTGTTCTGCCACAATAGATAACTACTATGCCAAGATTTACTCCCCTGGGGTTAATCCCAGCCCTGCCACCTACTTGCACCATGGCTCTGGCCAAGTTATTTAACTTCACCTGTTACCTGGGAATGGCAACACCCCCCAGTGGAACTGCTGTGCTGTGCTGAAGAGCCATGAAGCTCTCAGCACAGTGCCGGGCACAAAAGAAGGGCTTGAGAGATGGTTGTTACAGCTGGAGTGACTCCCTAATGACATACTGCCTGGTGACCTTCACCTCTGCTTCAAGGGTGAGGCTGGTCTCCTGGACTACAGCAGTTCTCTGGGGACAAGGCCTGCACCTTGTAGTTCATGTCTCTTGTGGCACAAGATGACTCCGTGGCAGGCACTGGCTGAGTTCTCAGTAACTGATGCTGTCAGGAGGGACCCTTGAGATACCCAGTTATGCTACTGACAGCTCTTGGTCCCAGCCTCAGAGGTAGGGACATCACCACGGTGAGCTTGACCCAGCCTGGACACTCTGTACAGCCCTGTGGGGCAAGTTCGTCCCTCAACTCTCTGAGCTTCATGTCTTTACCCTAAATGGGGATGAGCATGTCAAAGATGACTCTGCAGAAAGGACTCCGTGACGCTACCATGGAAAACACCTGGGCTCAGCTGTGGGTCACACTGCAGGGTCAGAACCATTCAAATACTGAGAAATCTGACTCAAAGTTGTCATCCTCTATGTGTGGTCTGAATGTTGGTGTCCCCCCAAAATTCATATGTTGAAACCTAACCCAAACTGTGATGGAATTTGGAGGCAGGGCCTTTGGGAGGTGATTGGGGCTTGAGGATGAAGCCTCATAGGTGGGACTAGTGCCCTTATAAAAGAGACCCCAGAGAGCTCCCTTGCCCCTGCCTCCAGGTGAGGACACAGTGAGAAGATGGCCACCTATAACCAGGAGGCAGGCTCTCACCAGACACTGAGTCTGCTGGTGGCCTGATCTTAGACTCCCAGCCTCCAGAACTGTGGGAAATAAATTCCTGTTGTTTATAAGCCACCCAGTCTATGGTACTTTGTTATAGCAGACAAAATGGACTAGGACAAGCTACCCTGGGAAAATGAGAGAAGCATGTTGCGGGGGTGGGGGCTGTAAGACAGCAAAATCTTCATCTCCCAGGGCAGAAGTCAGTGGTTTGTTTTCAAAACTAAAATGACATACAATCAAGAAATAACAGTATAAGGAAGTTATTTAGACATATGGAGGAAAAAGCAGATAAAATAGCTAAGCGAGATGAAAACAGATGCCTATGGGAAGTGGGGAGGAATCGGGCGTTTGTAAGGAGCCTTGCAGAATCTTACCACAGTGTATACTATGTACATGTGAAACTTTGATACATATTTAAAACTCACGTTACCACAAACAAAAACAAAGAAACAAAGTGCTGTCCAGACCGGGGCTGCCCAGGAGGAGCCAGCCCACTCGGCCGGCCGTACCTGTGAGGGGCTGCCGCTTGGCGACGTCCCAGACCTTCACGACCGTGCCCGCCGCGCTCACCAGGATGCCGTCCACAGTGGGGTGGAACTGCAGCACCTCCACCTGCACGTCCACAGGGCCCAGCACAAGCCCAGGCCCCGAGGGCAGCGCCTGGCCGGGGGCTGGCAGCCGCCACAGTTTCACCTGCGGGAAAGAGCAGTCTGTGAGCTGTGAGGACTGGGAGGCTGCCCCCAGCCAGCTTTGCCCGGGACTGCCTGGACCCCAGGGGTATCCCATGTCGGGGAAGGGAGGGGAACCCTGCTCAGGATCACAGCGTGTGGCTAGAGGCTGGGAGGAGGACATGACTAGGGGGAGCCGAGGGCACTGCTCCATCTCCTCAGGCCTCCCACACCGCCCCAGCCCTGCTCTCCTTAGGCGGCCAAGCAGCAGAACAGGTCACGGCGATGGCTCCGGGCAAGTGCACGGGAGCACCTGGGAGCCAATGCAGGTTGAGGAACTGAGAAAGTCTGGGCTAGCCCAGCCTTGAAAGCCTGCAGAGGGGCCAGAGGGCCCGAGGGCCCTGGAAGGGAGCGGGAGGGGCTGTACTGGGAGAGAGCAGGGCCCGGGGGGCCTCCTGAGCCCCTAAGGAGGGGTGGGAGGGGCATCAAGCAGCTCTTCCAATGGCTCCACTCACCGTCCTGTCAGCTGAGCCCGTGGCCAGGAGGAAGTCATCAAAGGGAGAGAGGTCCAGGTCTGTGACCAGGTCTGCAGGAGAGCAAAGGCTGACAGAGGTCCAACAAGAACCCGCCAGAATGTCCTGTTTCCATCCCAATGTGATCTCTCCCCAAGGCCGGGAATCACAGCCCGGAGCTTCTGAGGTGACACCTCTGCCCACATCTCAGCAAGCTAAAAGTCCGAGAAGTAGGGCACCTCTGGAAACCATGGGCAAACGGCACAGGCCCTTGCCTGTGACAGATGTCCCTGAGAGCCCTGCAGACCCAGGGTGGCCAAGGGCCCAGCATTGGGAGGTCAGTGGGATGACAGGCAGGAAGCTCCTCAGTTACCAGGCACCCACATTCGCCCCAAATCCAGAGCCCAGCCCGGGTGAATGAACACAAGTGCCAGCCCAGCTCTGGGCCCACAAGAGATTCAAAAACAGGACAGACGCCACCAGCTCTAAGAGATCCTCACCACCTCCAAGGGGAGACACACACCTCTCTGCAGACACAGCAAGAGGCCAACTGGGCAAGCGGGGTGGCACCCCTAGGGCAGGGGTCAGGGTAGCCTTCATGGAGTGGGCATGGTGGGCCCTGGAGGATGTGGAGGGCTGGTACGTGTTAGGACATCAGGGAGGCGGGGGCTGGGGTGACACGCCCAACCTAGTTCTTTACCCTTCGATTCTTCCCCAAGCCAGGGCTGACTGGTCCGTGGGAGTGCACCTGACCCAAGAACAAGCAGCCAGCTTTTCTCTTAAGGGACTTAAACCTGGAATGGGAAGGCCTAGGGACTGGCCTAGGTGCAGGGCAGCCAGCAGGGAGGGAGCCATCAGCTCCCATGCCACGACCCTCTTGAGACCTATGTGTCCAGCTGCTCCTCCAGTTCTGGAAGCTTCCCAGAAATCTTCCAATAAATCCCTTCCTGGCTTAAGCAAGCTGGAGTTGGTCTCAGTTCTTTGCAACCAAAGAACCTGAACTGCTCAGCCCTAGGGGGGGCAGGAGGGGAGGTAGGGGGCGTACAGAGTAAGTCAGAGCCTAGAGAGGAAATGAGGCTGGTGGTTTTGGGGGATAGAGATGAGGCCAGGGCTCGGGTGTGGAGGGTGGCAGGGGATGTGAGCAGGATGGCAAGACCCGCATTACCAGAGAAAGGAGCACAGCGACCATCCCCACTGCCTGCCTCCCCACGGGGCCAAGCAGGTATGCTTTCCTCCCAGGTCAGAGCCGAACCCTGGGCATCCCGCCCCAGAGGAGCAAAGAAGAGAAGAGGCGGACAAGGGGCACCCCCGGGACAGCCCTGGCCTGGACTCCTAGGTGCAGAAACCCTGCACCCCACCCTGCAGGCTCTACACTGGACAGGGCAGGGCCCAGGCCAGGTGCAGTAGTACAGCTCCCCTGAGGGAATGAGAAGCAGTGATGTGGCCAATCTGAGTGCCCAGCTGTGCTGGCAGGCTTGTGTCCTTTATGTGCATGTCTCTCACCAAATCCTCACAACAACCTGTCAGGATGGCATTGTGGCATCATCCCCAACTGGAAGACGAGGGCACAAGGACAGAGAGGTTAAGTAACTTGCCCAGAGCTGCACAGCTAAGAAGGGGCGAGGATGAGGTTCAGGCCAGCAGTCTGACTTTAGAACCTACCACCTCAGTCCAACACTGCCTTTCCCAAATCGGAGGATGCCCCCAGCCACCACCCCACAGCCCAGATGTGCACAGCCCAAACGCTCTCTAGATGCTTCCCTGCCCTCTGCTCCCCTGCGTGGCTGGGCGGAAGGGCTACTGAGAGGCACAAGGTGCCCCTGAAGGCAGGGCCCCCCGAAGGCAGGGCAATAGCCAGAGCTCAGCCCCCCGCAATCCTCCCACCACTGGCACCTAAGAGGGCAGAATGGCATCTGGTGCCTCGAGGACAGGTTCTGAGGTAACTGGAGCTCAGCTACCCTGAGAACAGCTCCTTGGCAAGGCCATTCCTGCAGGGAGAGGCTCTGAATAGTTGGAGCCACAGTGAGGCTACAATTCGCCAACAGAAGCCTGGTCCAGCTTCTATCTGGAGCCCCCCAGTAAAAAGGGGCTTACCACCTTGCAGACATCACCAACTTGGGGCAGCTCCCCCATGAGTAAATAGTATCAAGAAGCAAATAGCATGGTGCCGAAGAACACAGGGGTCAGACAGACCTGATTCTGGCTCTGCCAGCAGCAGCGCCCAATGTTGGTAAGTTCCTAATCTCTCTGAGCCTCAGTTTTCTCAGGTGAAAAATGGGTTATTTTAAAACCTACTTCAAAAAGGTGTGAGAGTGGATGAGAAAGCACACTTCTTACATGTGCTACAGCACAGATGGATCTCAAAACATTATGCTAAGTGAAAGAAGCCAGACTTAAAAGACTACGTATGGTATAATTTCATTCACGTGGACTGTCCAGAAAAGGCCAGCCTATAGAGCAGGAGCCAGCAAACGGTTCCTGTAAGGGGTGAGGTAGTAAATATCTTAGGTTTTGAGGGCCATATGGTCTCTGTCACAACTACTTGATGCTGCAGTTGCTGGGAGAAGGCAGCCACAGGCTGAACGGCAGTGAAGAGGTGCGGCTGCGTTCCAATAAAACGACTTACAAAGACAGGAGGCAGGCCAGATTCGGCCCCGACGGCAGTCTGCAGACCCTTGCTGCAGAGGCAGAAAGGAGATCAATGGTTGCAGAGGCCGCGGTGCCTGAGGTGGACTAACCGCAAAGGGGCACAGGGGATCTTTTGAGAAATGTTCTAAAACTGGAGGGCAGTATACACAGCCCCGTAACTTTAATAAAAGTCAAATCCTTCACTTAAAACAAGTAAAGTTAACGGTATGTAAATGATACCTCAATAAAGTTGTTGCAAAAAGCTTTAAAAAGGATTAGATGAGAAAATGCAGATAACATGCTTAGCACCTAGAGAGCTCTTCATCAATCTTCATTATTGTTATTTTATTAACTGCCATCATCATCTGGACCCCTACACTGAGCTGCACACTCAGACCAGGGACCAACAATCAGCCCCCTTCCCTTGGGGAAGCCCCCAAGGTCGCCCAACAGGCGGCCAGAAACGCAGGCCAGAGGGCTGGGCCCACAGCCGCCGCAGCTGGACAGGGAGAGAGGAGGCAGCTGGGCCAGCGCTGCCACAGCCCAAGGAGAGCAAACTGTTCCCCAAAGCGGGCGGGCTGCCAGGCGGGCTGCTGGGCGCCCCCAGAAGCAGCTGCGCAGACAAAAGCTCTCTTTGTGAGGGCCCATCTCTGGCCCTGCAGCCCAGCCAGCCCCCTCCTTGGAGGGGCCTACGCAGCCTGGCTGGGGAGGATGCCGGTGGCGAGAGGTAGTCTCCCAAGCTGCAGGAGAGGACACAGGGCTAAGAACCACAGAGGGCAGAGGCCTCAGCAGTGACAGGGAGTCAGTCTCAGCCTGGAGCCTGGTGCTACCTGGTGTATACCCCCTCCGCCCGGCTTGACCAGCTGGAGCATCTAGCTCCCCTCCTTTCTGCCCAGGACAGAATTCTCAACCAAGACCCAGCCTTCCAATCTGGACCCCACCTGTCAGAAGGCACAGTAAAGATGACCGGAGGGACCTTGCAAGCCAAAGGGCAGTAAAACCAGGTAAGCATGAATCCCTGGCCCCGGAGAGGGTGGGGTAAGTTCCAGACTTCCTGGGTCCAGCCCCTACTCACCTGAATGGCAGCCCAGATGGGTCATGCATTTCTTGCCCTCTCCCTGGCCTTCCAGAGGCACGATGCCCAACACACCTGTCAAACAAACATGGGGGCTCTGACTTCAGGCCTAATGGAGACCATCTACCTCCCTGCCCAGGACACCCAGGGGACATGAGACCCAAAAGCTCAGCCTTGGATCTTTCCAGAGCCTCCACCAATCATAAGATCACACTCTCTGGACATAGCGATTGGCCCAGGGTTTAGTGCTTGCTCCACACAGGAACCTCCGTGACACTAGCCATACAGAAGACACTAGTGAAAGAGGTTGTCTCTTTTTGGCACTCTGGGTCATAAGAAGTCTGTTTGGAGCCACCAGTTGCCACTTTTCCCAGCTTTACCTGAGAAAGAAGCCATCACCAGAGAGCCACAGAACTAAGGGACAGAAGAGAGGTCCGGGCTGATGACATGTGTGAGCCTCTGGACACAGCTCTGCCTGAAGCTCATGAACTTCTTACTTATACGAACCAAAAAGGTATCCATTTTTTGCTTATGTCAGTTTGAAGTCTCAGTTATCACTGGCAACCAAGAGTCTCAACTAACACAGGGAGCTTTTCAAATCTTTGTGTTCCTATTGACCCCAGCCACCCCCAGACAAGGAGTGGGTAGCATATGGGGACAGCTGGAAACAAAGGTGATAGCCTTGTCCCTACTCCCCTGGCCATGCTCTTGAAGACCACAGCTGATGTGGTTTTTACAAAGTATACACACATGCCCTAACCAAGATCGATCTGATTACTGTACATGGACCAGTTTGTAGGGGTCTAAGGCTCTGCGGGGTGCTGACCTATGAGCCCCAAGAGCTCCTTCAAGCCTCCAGCCTGCAATGAGCCTGCCCTTCTGTCCCACTCTGTCTAGGGTGACAATGTCTGAATCTCCACACCCACATCCACCTCCCTACCTGGACGGTCAGAGTTGAAGGCGATCAAGCTGCAGCTGGATTTGATATGGTTCCCACAAGAGGGGGCGGTTCCTGCTCGAACGTCACTGATCCAGGCCTGGAAATAAAGAATAAGAAACATGAAGACCAGGGCTCTGCAAATGCCTAAAGCAGGGGGTGGGGAATGATCCAGGGAACTCTCCCTTAAAGCTGTACCATTAGAGATGCATTTCTTTGGATCAAACCCTGTCCCCACTCAAGCAGTCCCTTAGAAAATGCAAAATGTTCTTGAAATGATAAAGCCTAAGTCATAAAGGAGGCGATTTTGCTTATTAAATCAGCTCTCTAATAAGAGTGAGGGGGCTGTCAGAAGGAAGCTCAGGCTGAGCGAAGTCAAGAGGCTAATCGGGCAGTGTTTGTGTGTGTGGTGGGGGAGCTGATTCTGTTAAAATGGAGAGAGAGAAGCAGAGAAAGGAGAAGTTGTGCACCTAAGACAGAAGACAGACTCAACTTCCTCAACACATTGGTGAAGGCCTCCACCAAGTACAGGGGTCTCCTCCAAGCCCCAGGAGAAAACACCCAAGGTCAGAGAGGGAAAAATCAAGCCTTTCCACAAAGTCCCACAAACAGGTAAACAATGCACCCTCGTGAAAGGGCAATGATGTTAAGAGCCCCACATACGGAAGAGCAGAGGAGCACTTTCTCTGATGCTAAGATCAGCGAGGTCCAGATGTTGTCTCTGTTGGTTTCAAAGCAACACTCCCTTCTGCTGCCCAACAATCGAGCACCCATATTTCCCAGCCCACCCACCCACAGCGGCCCAGAAACCACCTCCACCACCCAAGTTTCTGTTTCAGTGTTCACTGCCAGGGGTAGAACATCATCATCTTGCATTATTTTTCCCTCCCAATTCTTGTTTATTGTACAAATACAGTAACGGGAAGTATCTTTGAAATGGAGACCAGATCACCTGTTCTCTCATCTCGCTAACATAAACTGTCCTAAGCCCCCCTTGTAATCTCTGCTCCCATGCCTGGCTGTTTACCTTGCTGGACTGCGGCCCACCCACGAACAAGCCCCAGGGCCCCTCAAGCACACTCCAGACCCCTCCAAGCGGTACCTACTAAACTAAGAGAGACAGTATTAATGCAAAGTTGAGCACCTTTCCCCTCAACCCTCCACCTTCTTTCAACCTCTCAATGGCTCCCCACTGCACTCACAATACAACCCAACCTCTTCCTGTGGCCCTCAGGCTCTGCAGGGCAGCTCCAGACTCAACTTACACCATGCTTCCCATCACTGCCCTCCATCCACCCTGGCCCACTTTCCGTTCCTCCACTAGGCTCTTCCCACCCCACTCTTCCTGTAGATGGCTGCTTCTCACCCTCTGGCCTCAGCTTAAATGTCACCTCCTCCCAGCAGCCTTCCCTGATCATCCCATTGAGATTAACCCCCACCTCATAATCCACCTCCATCTCCGTCCTAGCCCCTGATGTGTGTTCTTCAGTGCACTTATTAAAACTTGCAATGCCGGGCCGGCCCTGTGGCTTGGTGGTTAAGTGCGCGCGCTGCGATGCTGGCGGCCTGGGTTCAGATCCCGGGTGCGCATCGAGGCACCACTTCTCTGTCCATCCTGAGGCCGAGTCCCACATACAGCAACTAGAAGGGTGTGCAACTATGACATACAACTATCTGCTGGGGCTTTGGGGGCAAAAAATAAAATAAAATAAAATCTAAAAAAAAAAATAAATAAAAATAAAACTTGCAATGCCTTTGCAGGCCTGTCTGCTTGCTGGCTGTCTCCCTCAGGAGACTGTAGGCAACACAGAGGAAGGAAAGCGCTGTTGCGATCATGGCTGTGGCTCCAGAAGCTGGGCACAGCACCTGGGAGGTATGGAGGAAATACTGTCCAGAAAATGAAAACTGGGCTTCCGCCCCAGGCGGCCCTACTGTGTGCGTTGGCCTCTGATGGGGTCAGTGGAGGTCAGTTTCTAGACCTAATTATTGAAGGACACTCCCAGACCTTCTAAATAACACGGGGAGTGGCAGACCAGAGCTGGCACCGCCTCTGAAGCACATCCCCCCTCATCAAGCCAGCTGCCATTCCGGGGGTCTGAGGCGACCGCCAGCACCTGGCTCAGCTCTTCCTCTGGGCTCCACCTGCTCAGGCTTCCCCAGGCCCCACCCAGCCCCTGGCAGCATCACACCGAGTAAGGAAGAGCTTGCGCTGGCCGCGAGAGGAGGAAGCGCCGGCGGAAACCCGAGGGAGGGGCGCGCCTACGGCCGAGGGGCTCCCTCTCTCCAGCTGACACATCGGACTCGCCGAGGCCACGGCAGAGAGGGCATCTCTCCCACACCCCAGCCCCAGGCAGGGGCGATGGGGGCGGCAGGGAGGAGGAGCTGCGGCTCCCGTGCAAGGCCGACCGGAAGCTGGGAAGGCAGGGAGCCTCGCAGGCCTCAGGCCTCGGCCCCGGCAGGGCGGGCTGAGCCGCCTCGGGGGTCCCGGGGTGAGGCTCGGGTGGGCCACGGACCGCGGGGCTCACGGAGCGGCCAGAGAACGTCTCTGGAGCGCCGGACTCTGCCCGCCGGGCAGCCAAACGCAGGAGTCGGGCCTGAAGGGGGCGCCCCGGGGCAGGCGGGCTCGAGGGACCCCGCGCGGAGCCCAGGGAGCTGAGGGAGGGGAGGCCGCCGGGCGAGGGGCAACAGCGGGTCGGGCTCACCTCGCGGCGGGGCGGCCGGGCCTCCGTATGCCGGAACTTGGACACCTTGAAGCGGTTCATGGCGGCAGCGACCGCAGCGGACGCAGCTTCGAAAACCCGGGCGTGGGCTCTCAGGTGCACGGAAAGCAGCCGCGACTCCCGCCGCCTCCGGCCCAACCCGCGGCCCGCCGACCGCGGCCACGCCCCGACACGCCCTGGCCAATCACAGGCTGCCCCGGCCCGCCGGGCCACGCCCCCGGCCCCCTCTCCCTCTGCGCCCGCGCGGTCGGCCCCGCCCGTCGGCCAATCGCAGCTCGGCCACTCCGCGAGGCCACGCCCCGATGGCGACGGCCCGCGGCGCGGGCGGGGAAGTCACGTGCTGCACTCTGTTCGCCCCCGGCCCCGCGGTGAGTGCATGGGGACTGGGGGCGACAGCCGCGATTTTGTGTGTAGTGCTTTGCCTCCGGAGGCTTTCCAGTGTGCGGGACACACCCTCCCGAGGAGGAGGGGGAGCAGGAATCAACTGGCTCCATTTCGAAGACAGGGAACGGACCCACCGAGAGAGGAGCCGCTGGCCGCCGTCACACAAATAGTGACTGGCAGCGGGGGAACTGGAGCCCAGGTCTGATGCAAATCCCTGTCCGTGAAGCCTACTCTAAAGCCTGCATCCCACCCGCCCTGCTTAGGCCAGGTGCGCTTGGTGGGAGGGATGGAGCCTTCAGCATCCCCTTATTAGGGCATGTCTTGGCTGCAGGCCTTGGGCGCAGTGGGGCAGGACTCCTCGAAAAAGATCAATGTATCATTTACAGATAACCTGAAAGGGCAAAAGATAAGGACAAAGGAGAATCCCTTAAGTAGCACATGTGCCCAACCGGCGCTGCTTGCTCAGTCCCGAGCAACTCGAGAAAAGACAGCAGGTTCATTCCACCTGGGGCCTTCATTGCACAAGCATTTCTCCTCGCTTTGAAAATTGACTCCGTGATTCCAGAATGTGCTTTCTGCTTGAGGACAGACATAACACCTGCTCAGGCGTGTCTGGAAAAGGGACTTTGATCTAAGGAATGCGAATGATTGGTCGGAACCGGCAGTTGCTGCGAAGAAAACTCCCCTTCCGCAGCCTGCCACAGAGGTAAGCCTCCCCTGAGGTAGGCTGCCCAAGGGTAATTCTGAAAGCTTGGCCTGGCGATGGGCACGAATGGACCCCAAAATGCAAGTTCTTTTTTTTTTCAATTCTCACAAGGAAACTGTGAGGACTAAGAGGCCACTTACCAGTATCCTCCTGAGTGAGTTAAAAGCGAGTTTGACACTCCATAAACTAAAAATAGTATGTCAATAGAGTTGACTAAGGCCTGGGATTTGGAATTCTAAGCAGTCTGGCAGACACTGGAGTGCAGCTTTCTCATGGCACATACTCTACAGACTCTGCAATTCCAGCAGCTTTGGGAAAGGCACCATCAGTGCAGTCTTGAGTTGGTTGTGGTGTCCAATTACTGCAGATTTTGTCGGTTTTTCAAATTGTGATAAAAAAATATAAAATAAAAAAATTTTAAGTTTACAGTTCAGTAGTGTTAAAGACATTCACAGTGTTGTGCAACAGATATCCAGAACTTTTTCATGCAAAACTGAAACTCTATACCCATTTAAACAACAACTTCCTATTTCCAACTCTTCCCAACCCTTGGTAACCACCATTCTACTTTCAGTTTCTATGAGTTTGACTACTTTAGATGCCTCATATAAGTGGAATCACACATTGTCTTTTTGTGACTGGCTTATTTCATTTAGCACAATGTCCTCAAGGTTCGTCCATGTTATTGTGTGTGACGGAATTTCCATCCTTTTAAAGACTGGATGGGGCCAGCCTGGTGGGATAGCGGTTAAGTTTGCATGTTCTGCTTTGGCAGCCTAGGATTCGCTGGTTCAGATCCTAGGCGCAGACCTACTCACCAGTCATCAAGCCATGCTGAAGCAGCGTCCCACATAGAAGAGCTACAACTCTACAACTGTGATACACAACTATGTACTGGGGCTTTGGGGAGAAAAAAAAAAGAGGAAGATTGGCAACAGATGTTAGCACAGGGCCATTCTTCCTCAAAAAAAAAAATGATAAAGATTGGATAATATTCTGTTGTATGTATATACTATGTTTTGTTTATCCATTCGTCTATCAGAGGACACTTGGGGTTCCTCCACCTCTTGGCTATTGTGAATAATGCTGCTATGAACGTGGGTGTGCAAATATCTCTTCATGACCCTGCTTTCAGTTCTTTTGGATATATACCCAGAAGTGGGATTGCTGGATCATATGGTAGTTCTATTTTTAATTTTTGAGGGGCCTCCATACCAGATATTGCTCTTAGAATTACAATTAGTAATAGTTCAGTACCATCCTTTAGTTACTGTTGGTTGTTTGGTTGATTCTACAGTACACAGTAACCCCTATTTGCATCAACAGTATTTGACTTATAACTTCCTAGTAAGGAGACATTCAGACATTATGCATTGTGATCCAAATATAAATCAGCTATAGATCTAAAACTCTTAGAAGAAAACAAGCAAAAGCTTCCTTACATTGCATTTAGCAATAATTCTTTGGATATGACACCAAAGGTCCAGGGAAAAAGAAAAAATAAGACAAACTGGACTGCATGAAAAATTTTTAAATTTGTGCATGAAAAGACACTATCCACAAAATAAAAAGGCAACCCACAGAATGGGAGAAAATGTTTGCAAATCATATATCTGATAAGGGCTTAATACCCAGAATATACAGAGAACTCCTGGAACGCAGCAACAACGAAAAACCCCATCTAATTTAAAAATGGGCAGGGCTGGCCCCATGGCTTAGCGGTTAAGTGCGCGCACTCCGCTGCTGGCGGCCCAGGTTCAGATCCCAGGCACGCACCAAGGCACCGCTTCTCTGGCCATGCTGAGGCCGAGTCCCACATACAGCAACTAGAAGGATGTGCAGCTATGACAT